CCCTCCCAGCCGGACAACTTGCTAGGATGTGTTGAACTACACCCAATTCTCAAGTCTTACGCTTTCTATGAGTGAACATACTCCCAAGCCACCTCATAACATATGCTTGGACTAAATCCATGCAGGTATTTGACCATCGCGTGAAATTTAGCGCCTTCCAGAATGCAGTATAAGGGGTACAGGAGAGTATCAAGGGTCTAGATGCATGAAAGTTCCACGTCCGTTTTTAACACAGGGTTGCTGTCACTTCAATAAGGTTTGCCCTCGTTTAATTTGTTCTCCTCATGACATGAGCATTTTGAGAACAAAAAAACCAAGAACAAAAAAAAAAACATTTTTATTCCTATCATCTGCCGTGGTCCTGGACAGTTCTCTACTGTGACATTCTCAAAATTTGAGTGTTTTCATTTCTTCTCGGCAGGTTTCCCATTTTCCCAGACGGCTATTTTCAGAGTGGGTCCATCACCATACTTCCTTGGCGTGACTTCCACCTTCTTCTGAAAAAAAACGGGATTTCTCAAGTTTTGGAATTATAAGTGATCAGTTTTTTTTGTATTCACTACCTCTAACATGTAAAGAAACAGTGAGGTCAAACAGAGCATCCACTAGGAACCAGCAAGTGACAATCGTTTTTGGCGCAGAAGCCAGCCCGTTATCCTCCAACTGTTGAAGAGGGATAGCTACAATAACTGGTGGAAAACATTCCGCCGCGACACACTCCGTCCCCCGACACGCCTCAGCGTCCGCAACGATGACGCTGTACATTTGGGATGGCCCCTTCGATGTTTTAGATGATACGCATTCACACCCTATAACTCCTGCAAAGCAGTAATCCAGCAGAATACCATTTCCTCTCGTCCGCCCCGCCTGCTACCTTTGATCGCCTCGTTTAATCGAAACCGTCACACGGGCCATTGACCGTCAACGTATAGGTGGGGTAAAAAAGCTGACAAAACTGTTGCAGCAAGTTGATCGAGGTCACTCCGGTCCGTTTCAATTAAAATCTGAGTGAGCCATGTATGTGCTGGGAACCAGAGCGATTACACTATACCGAAAACAACGCTAAACTGCGCTTTTTCTGCATGAATGCTTAATTACCGCCATCATCTTAAGTCATATGCGGGAACGATTGTTGAAAAGAACTGCTGAGAATGAGCAGATATTCTTCTACAACCTACCCAAGGTATAGCATCTATGAATGAATTGGGGTTGTCAACACGACCCAAATTTTTTCCAGTACGCCCCCCCCCTTTTGTTCCCCATCCTTCACAGCATCCCCTTCCCACCCCAAATGCCCACCACTCCCAACTTTTCCAAGTTCCAAAAGAAAAGTTTCTCAGACTTCCAAGGTTAAAAGCCGGAAAAAAATATTCTTGCAACTCGAATAATTTCTCTTGAAGCCACATGGCTCCCCTCTCCCACCTCAACGATCAAGTACGACCGATCGATGGGACTCACCCTGATTCTGAGCCCTGCTGCTGCTTCGCTTACCTTCGAACGGGAACAAGAAACCTCGAACAGGATTGCACATTTATCGATCTCTTTCGGCAACTTCAACTCTTACCATTCTTTATCATAGCACGATTCTTCCTTCTTGATTTCTGACTTGTCAATTCTTACCTTTAGAGAGGTAGTATGAATGCGGCCTATAAAGATAAAACGCTGCATACCTATCCGCACATGTGACAAGACACTCGTAATTCGTTGCGCTTGCACCGCGCTGAACAACACGCGCGACGGAGCGGCAAACCACGATTGTCTTGACCGTCTCCAATCCTATCTAACCTTTGAAGAGTCACGACTACTAACCCACCTTTGAACACAGTCTCGTCACCTGGGCAGCAATTTGCGAATATCGCACATAGTTAATGCCGGCAGCTCTCCACAAAACCATTTTCTGTTATAATTCATCGTTATTGAGAAACGACATCTGCACCAAACCGTGCCAAAAAACAATCAATAGCGTCATCGATTACGAATGACAACGGCAATGGCATCGTATTGACACATAATGACAGAACACAAATGAATAGAAGAATATTTATACACATTAGGCATTGCATACATCGAATTCGAATCACATCAGGACTACATTTTCAATCAATAAACGCGCGGTGAACGACCTTTGACTATGCACGTCGCGCCGCGATGTCGCCATCAAAAGTCCCTTTAAAACTACATAACAAAATCCCAGTCTAAAAACAAAGCGCAGATATTCGGTGAGGAATTTATATCATGCTGTCCAACCACTGAGTGAAAAAAAACGGTTAGCGGTTAAAAAACCAAAAACCATGCTGGACGCTTGACTTTTCATCAGACTGTACCATACAACTGAACTTTTTTAAATGTTTTATTAGGCCGCCAAAAACAAGTTAGAGACACAAACATCGCCGCCACACGGCAGGATCACTAGACATGCTTGAGAGAAGAAGTTCACTCTGAAGAATGAAAGGACTGTGTGTGTCTCTAACTTGTTTTTGGCGGCCTAATAAAACATTTAAAAAAGTTCAGTTGTATGGTACAGTCTGATAAAAAGTCAAGCGTCCAGCATGGTTTTTGGTTTTTTAACCGCTAACCGTTTTTTTTATTTCAACTCAGTAGTTGAACAGGCACGTTTATAAATTACTCACCGGAATGTCTGCCGCTTTGGTTTTAGACTGGATTTTGTTTAGTAGTTGGCAGCTCGCGGCGTGCGATGACTCATCTGCTCTTCTGCTCCCTCCTCGGCAAAATAGAAGTAATTTTGTGTTTAGGACATGGATATAACACCGACCTAGCTATATTAATACAGTAACGCTAAAAAGTCCGAAGAAACAGTTGTGGGCTGGAAGATTTTTGAATCAACTACAAAATTTTGTTGCCTGTTTGTTGTTGACTGTTATTGTTGACTACAAAAGATCAAACATTTGTTTTCGGCTTCCGTGGGATTTCTCAGCAAGTTCCCGGTGAACCTTGTTTGTTTTATTCTAATTTGACTGCTAGAATCGCGCTTCAAGTATGCCGATGAGTGAAGAGCCGATGAGTCATCACTCGCCGCGCGCCGCGTGGTCCCCCCCCCCCAAATACGTTAGCACCGGTCAATAGTAATACATTCTTGATTTCTTGACTTTTTCAATTCTTACTTTAGAGAGGTATGAATGCGGCCTATAAAGATAAAACGCTGCATACCTATCTGCACATGTGACAAGACACTCGTAATTCGTTGCGCTTGCACCGCGCTGAACAACACGCGCGACGGAGCGGCAAACCACGATTGTCTTGACCGTCTCCAATCCTATCTAACCTTTGAAGAGTCACGACTACTAACCCACCTTTGAACACAGTCTCGTCACCTGGGCAGCAATTTGCGAATATCGCACATAGTTAATGCCGGCAGCTCTCCACAAAACCATTTTCTGTTATAATTCATCGTTATTGAGAAACGACATCTGCACCAAACCGTGCCAAAAAACAATCAATAGCGTCATCGATTACGAATGACAACGGCAATGGCATCGTATTGACACATAATGACAGAACACAAATGAATAGAAGAATATTTATACACATTAGGCATTGCATACATCGAATTCGAATCACATCAGGACTACATTTTCAATCAATAAACGCGCGGTGAACGACCTTTGACTATGTACGTCGCGCCGCGATGTCGCCATCAAAAGTCCCTTTAAAACTACATAACAAAATCCCAGTCTAAAAACAAAGCGCAGATATTCGGTGAGGAATTTATCATGCTGTTCAACCACTGAGTTGAAAAAAAAACGGTTAGCGGTTAAAAAACCAAAAACCATGCTGGACGCTTGACTTTTTATCAGACTGTAGCCATACAACTGAACTTTTTTAAATGTTTTATTAGGCCGCCAAAAACAAGTTAGAGACACAAACATCGCCGCCACACGGCAGGATCACTAGACATGCTTGAGAGAAGAAGTTCACTCTGAAGAATGAAAGGACTGTGAGTGTGTTAAGCGAAAGGTGAAAGCTAGATAAAGGGTACGTTAGTAGTAGTAATAGAATCTTGTCTAATATTTACTATCAAAAGGACAATGGCCCAGACAGCAAAGCTGTAACGCTTATGCATGCACAACCGACGATCAATCCATATATAGCTCGATAAGCTCTCATCACTAGATGTGTTGCTGCTCCTATTTCAAAACAAACAACGAATGAATGAAACAAAAAGAGATGTAGGTGAGAAAAGCATGCCAGAAACCCCCACAATAGAACAACTAGGAACCATGGTACTGCAATAACAATATGAAACTAGATTCGATCAATTGGACTGGTATTTCATCACAGAAAAATTACTATGCAACAGGCAATAATAGGTCAGATAATAGAAAACATAATAATTTAATAGGCAATCGTATGGTTTCCGCTTGTGTAGAAAAAGCGCTTGCCGACCTGATATTTCCATTGATTGGAATTTCACAAGGCGACAATGGGTGTGTATGGATGATTCAGCATGTACTTCGTTACTGCGCTGAAAAAGAACAACGGTGTTATCAACATTAGATATTACAGAAGAGTTAGTCGGTTGGACACAGATGGTTCACTCAACAAAGGTGAGCATTTATTGGGAGGGTTTGGCTTGTTTTTTTTTTGAATTAGCGCGGAAATTCTGCGAAAAACACCCCAAAACCAAGCGAGCTATAGAACGATTAATTCGAAATTGTGAGTACTCTAACTCTAAAAATCGCATAATGGCAGACTGAAACTATTAACTTTGGTGTGGGCTACACCTGTAAGCTTTTTCAATAAGTGCCTGTCTGTTTTCTTCTCGGCAGGTGACAAGACTATCGTAATATGCCGCGCCGGTGGGCGCAGCCGGGCCGACCGCCCGCACGACAAATGAGTGTCCCTGCTCGGCCTTTTTTCAAGACGAGTGTGTAAGGGACGGGAAAATTTGAATAGTTCGTCATGGTATCTTGCCTTCGCTTGAATGCATATGCAGGGTACACCATCGTGATGTGTGAACTCGTAGTGTCAGTACGACCTCCCCCCCCCTTGAAAGAGGGTCTCGGTACGACCCCCCCCCTTCCCAACCTCATACATCCAGGAAACACGCCCAGCGTCCGCAGCGAACTAGAGTGTATGACCTTCGCTGCTCCAATCGGCTAACCGACTCAACGATCATTCGCCGTACATGGCCGCATGATACGCCGCGCGCGGCGACGCGACAAACCATGAGTGTTTTGTTCTCTTTTGTTTTGCCTTTTCACAATCGTGTCTCACCCTAGAAGTCTTGTAATTCCTGTCAAGTATCCTGTAATCTCATGTCAAACTTGGCGAAATGGCACTAGCATCAATGGAACGCTATTTATCCACTTCCCCAAATCATAAGCAGTCATTCTGACAAATTTGACAGGAGTCTCCAGGCTTGACAGGTGATAACAGGGCGTACAGGGTTTTGGAAGGGTTTTCCGATATCCACAAGTGTGCGGCTTACTGAACTTGGTAGGCCGACAACGACATGACACAAATTACAAAGCTTACAGGTAGAACCCCTCCAAGTTTATTAGCGCCAGGCGACCAATATTTTGGAGAGCTCGACTAATTTTGAATATATCGCTGAAATGAAAGGACCTTAAATACCAAGCGAGCATCAGAATGATTACCCTATTTTCTGGAGTATAAGACGCCCTTTGTATACGGCACACTTGCCTCGAGCGCCACGAACGTGATTTTCAGGCTTTCTTTTGGAGTATTTTTTATTTGTTTTTATCTATGTGAGTAATCTTTTCTTAATCATAAGCGTTCTGAAAGCAATTATAAAAATAGAATAGGCAAAAATATCTAAAAAAAGCTGCTGTTATGCCTAGGATCTTTCGCCCATTGTGTGATCGTGCGCCCAACACGCGTCCCCTCATACCCCCTCCATATCGTCATGCACGGTATGAGCTGAAAAAAATTTGCCAGATGAACTATTTTTCACCTTTAGAACGCCGTCAGTTCCGGGAGGAAAAACAGAGGACAGATTCCACTAGTTATACGAGTAGATCAGACATCATGTGAGTAGACAAAGGGAGGGAAAGTAATTGATTCAAAATTAGGCCAACAGGCAGAAAAAAGATACCGATTTGTCCGATAATCTGAAATTATGCCTATGGGAAAGGAAAAATGTTTGAACAGAATCCTTCAGTGCTTCGCCAGGTAGTATTTTTTCACGAAGAATACTATTTACTTTTCAAAGGCAGTGAGCACAACTGCTGGAGGAGGACGATTGTTGCCAGCGTCATTGGTGGAAGAGCTACAAAAGGGCGTTTGACCACACCCAATTGATCCTTCCACCAATGATGATAGAGACAACCGCCCGCCCCCAGCCATCGTGCCACTGCCTTTGAGTCGATCATCATATATCGGCTACGATCTGCGAAATAGTCATTTCTCTTGAACATTGTTCTATGTTACTGTAACTGTTGCTCATGCTACAATTTTCGTCATGGTCGGCACTAGAAGTACCAACCGCGTATTCCTATAGAACGACATCTGCCGATGTCTCACCATTCATTTGAGTTGCATTTGCTGGTCGTGGAGTCATAGCTGGAGCACCAACGACCATGGCCGGCGAAGGCGTGTAAACTTGTCCAGGACGGATCGGCTTCACGATCTGGGGAGTGTTCTGGCGACGTTGGTTTCGCTGCCGCACCGCATCCTTGATGCGCTCCACCTGAAAACGAAACTATCACAGGTAAAATCATAAAAATGAGCAGCAAAGTCGAACAGAAGAGAGCGAAAGAAATGCACTTTAACAAAAGCGTGTTCATACTTTGCGACCCGCCTGGACCGTACGATTGAGCCGCTCGAGAGTTGGATCGCGCGATCACGATCGGGAGCCCTCCGAGCCATTCGGTGGACCGCCGCAACGGCAGGATTCAACTGTGCCGCCTTTCGTGCACTCTATGACGCTTTCCAATTTGGATTCTGCCGTTACGTGGTCCACCGACTGGCGGTCGAGCGCCCCAGTGGTGATTGCGCGATACGATCTCGTGCGATCCCATCGCGCAAACCAAGCGATCAGCGCGTGAAGTATGAACGCGCTCTAGATGGCAAAAAACCGAACCTCTTGCTGGTACTTTCGTCGCTCGAGCTGCGATCTCTCCTTGGTCTCTCGCAGAGCCGTCTCGAGTTGCTTGATGCGGTCCTCCCTTCCACGCAAACGTGCTTCCATCTTTGGTAGTTCAACGCGAAGATCAGCGTTATCACGGACAAGCTTGAAAATTGGGAAATAAAATGTTATCGAAACATCTCGAAGACAAGAGAATATCCCATAAAACTGGATTGAAGAGCCTACAACGTCATTTTCAAATACACCAACCGCTAATGAACAGTCTTCAAGATAAGCTCTACACAGTGAATCCTTGTTTGGGAAAATTCTAGTCTTTTTGAAAAATAGTGACTTTTTTCGAGTTATTTCTTCAATCTAAAAATGAGATCCTAGGGAATGTAGAGGAGTTCCCCCACAAAATAATGTATTTACCTGCTTGTGAACCTTAGTGAGCTTGTCCAGGTTGTTCTCAAGGAATTGAATTCGTTGTTTCTGAGCGGGGCCAGAAAGACAGTCTTCCTCGACATCTAGACCAGCCTGGCATCTCGAGAGAATCAACCGGACGAACTCTTTCTTCAGGTTTTTCAACGTTGCAAGTTCCTGAAGAATACGGTCATAAAGCAGTAGCACATTGCGCTAGACAAATGCACGTCACTGTTACCCTTTGAAGAAAGCTGAACTAAAAGCAAATAAGTAAGAAGTAATAAAAAAGCGAGAGAATGCAAAAACATGAACCGTGTTGACTCTGTCAGTGAGCGGTTTCAGCTCTCTCGCTGCCTGATCCTTCACTAGTAACTGTTTCAACTTGTTCGCATCCTGTCCCTTTACAGAGTCCATCTCCTCCAGCTTCTTCTCAGCCGCTTGGGCTTCTGCAGAGTTCATCTGAACAGAACAATTATTATAAAGCTGAAGTCTTTCCGATTTCGCTGCTTTTTAGGACTTTGTATAACAATAGGGTACTCAGTCATATACTTGCACGATTTTCAATCTTCGGAAGCTGTACGGTGAAGAAAATACGCTCGCTGGGGATTAGTGACTTTAGCCTTGCTCCTAGCAATACATCATAGAAAACGGAATGAATAAGTAGATGGTAAAGAGGTAAGGAGGGAATGAGCACATATCAATCCTCTCAGGCGGGAATGAGCGGTGGAAATATGAGCGGGAATTGTGTCGCTTTTAGATTCGTTATCGCCACAGATCAGAAAAAGCGCGATATTAACGCAGGTAGTTGGCACTGCATTTTGCTGAGCTCTCGGATAATGGCATTTCTTTGATAAAGAAGTCCTACGCCTCACCCGCATATCTCCTCCTACCTCTTTTCCCCCCTCACGACCCTCCCTGTAGACTCTCAAGACGTCAATCAAGTCCACGGTATGACGAGTGACTGGTTCAAAAGTTATCACAAGAATGCTGAGTTGTGGGCAAAAGTCATGCCCCAGGCGGGAGTCGAACCCGCACCTCACGCTTTTCGGACGAGTGTGCTATCCGTTACGCCACCAGGGCGCTTTACCTCTACTTCCACGGCTTATGCCGTAACCTTACAGCACGCACACGTTTAACTTGGTGAGCCGGTCAGCAAACAGTTAAACAGCAACTATCATAACAAAACAGCTTCAAAAACTTGTAAAGCCTTCGGCCTCGCGGTTCCATGCCGATATCTAACGATTACGGCTGACCGGCTCACCAAGTTAAACGTGTGAGTGCTGTAAGGCTACGGCATAAGCCGTTAAGCTGAGAGGGTAAAAGCGGCCCTGGTTGGCGCTGTAAGCGGATAGCGCATTCGCCCGGAAAAGGATGAGGTGCGGGTCGCGACTCCGCCTGGGGCCACGACTTGACCCCACAACTCAGGCTTTCTTGTGATAAATCGGAACGCGCCTACTGCGGCCTTTAAACAGGGCAGCTCTCATAAGCAAAACGGCTCACAAATACTCTAGGCTATAAATACCGATAGAACAAAATTAGATCAACACTCATGCATTGAACAAGCGCATCACTAAAAAATAAGATAATCTCCATTTCTCTAGCGTTTCCCGCGCCATTTCAGGGTCCGCTCTTCTTCTTAGACTTAATACTGATGTTTTCGCCAGTTCTAATACTTTTTTATTTTCGCGGAGTTCTCCACTAGCCGGATAACTTTGTCGAGCTGAGCCTAGCGCTGGTATCGTCACTTTTGCTTCTTGCACGGCATGTTTCGGCAAAGATCAAACTCGTGGCTCAATGTGCAGAAATGAAACTATACTAAGCTACATATAACACGCACGCTATCCCCACCAGAAATATAGACACGGTGAAAATAAAAAGAGACCTAGTATGACAAAGCGATGAAAAAAATGAATTCTCGCAGCCGGAGCGATAGAAAAGAAACTATCGAGCTTTACGGTTCTGACTCAGGCGCCCAAAACAAACCATAAGCGCCTGATTGTCTCGACATGCGCTCTTTTTGATGGGGCAAGGAAGGTTCCCAACACTTAATCCAGTCGTCACCCCTTAACTTCTCCTCATTCTAATCTTCGTCATATCATCACATTTAAATGGTATTTGTGATAATTGATTTATTTCGGTCATTTGGGTTCGATTTTTTGCTAGTAGTTGTTAGCTATAATTCGAATACCCAAGAAAACCAGACAAAAATACAACGCGCGCGTGGCAGGGAAGTATCCTACTATATATCTATATAATCGGCTATTGTCCGTGCCATGTAGTGTCTGTGTGTGTGTGTGTGTGTGTGGTGTGGTGTGTGGTGGTGCGTGTGGTGTGTGTCTGTCGTCTTTCTGTTGTCACGAAATTCGTAGTCACCCAAGGCACTTAAGGGGAATCAGTCAATGGGGATGGCGACAAAATGTAAATAATCATACAGTGACCGATCTAAGCCCGCCCACAGTGGGCGGGGCGTGCGTCGAAAGTTAGCTAAGTTAGTATGTCACTGGAAAAAAGTCATAACCCGGTTCCAGAGCAGTCCCCACATGAGGGAACGGTGCACTAAAACTAACAAAGGGCTGACCGAGCAAGTGGAGGAGACACACCGCAAGTGCAGGAGACACATCCGAGATGGGAAGGGCGTACTTGAGATGGGCGGTTTCCCGTGTCTGAATAAAAGTAAGTATAACTTGGACTACATAAGCTGCCCGGAGGGGGAAAAAATTGGGATTAAGGTTCGCATTGGTTTGTGCAGAGCAAATGAAGCATGACACATCCAAAACGAGGCGGGGCGTACTTGAGATGGCGGAGCTCCTGTGCAACAAAAGCCATAATTTGGCTACAAAGCACGCTCGGAGACGGGAAAAAGTGGAATAAGATTAGCAGTGGGTTGGCAGAGGAAATGGAGGAGACACATACAAAATGGGCGGGCTGTACTTGAGATGGGCGGTGCTTCCCCAGAAAGGTCGGTAACTCGTCTCCGCAAATAGATCAGCAGATCGCAGAAAATGAGACAGCCATTGACGAAGCGAACATCGGGCAAGATCCACCATGTTGTGGTGTACTGAAGGACCGCCCAGTGCGGATTGGCGTTTGAACACGAGGTACCAGTTTAAAAAGTCGTAGTTTGGTTCCTAAAGCACTACAGACGGCGCAAAAAAGTGGATCATGGTCCCCAAGTGATCAAATGTCGGAATGTGCGAGGCACCCATTGTGAGCGGAGCGTGCCCCGAGGTGGGTGGAGCCAAGTTTGAAAAGTTCGTAAAACGGTCTCTGATGCTCCAACACTGGAAAATGTAGGTTGTCGAGGGTCACGGCAAGTGAAGGCATAGCGTTGTGGGGAGAGCGGTAAGTCAAGTAGGCGAGGCCAGTCTCAAGAATTCTTCAAGCGGTTCCAGGGCACTCCAGGCCTCCTCTGTGATACGCCCCGGCCTTGCGGGACGTGGCTCCATCGCGTCTGCCTGCATTCGTATGATCAAATGCTCGACTAATACCTAGCTTTTCCTCTCATTTGTCCACGTGATCAACCCTCCTTACCACCATTCCATAAACCAAAGTTGAAAATAGGCAGGTAGTGTTATCGATTGGACGATGGGCATACTAGGGTCAAGTAGAATGTTTGATCATTGTGTTCAATAATAAAAGAAAAGCCGGATACTTAGATGGTTGTTAAAATGTGTGAAAAAGAAGAAGATAGCGCGCGGAGCCGCGTCCCGCTCGCGAAGCCGTGCTGCATCTCAGAAGGAGGCGCGCCGGCGTCAGCCGGGAAGCCAGCTGGTTTTTATGAATAGCAAAACCAGGGACTGATTGCACGAGGTAATACCATTAGGTGAATCAAGAAACGACTTCTAGAGGTGATGCTTACAAACAATACAATGAAGATTATCGCAAAAAAATTGTAAATCAAGGAAAAACAACTGTTTTGTTACCTCTTTCGCAGCTGTGTTCTCACTGAAAAGCTTTGAGACTCCGATTCGCATGTGGTTGAGAAGTTCATGGTCAGGAAGGACATCATTCTGGTTGACCTAAAACTAAGCTCGATTGTGAAGGCAGCAGCAGCAGCAGCAATAAATCGATGTGCCTCAGTACTTGAAATATTGCGAGCAAAGTCGTGAAAGCTCTATAAAAACAGAACTATTTCTTAAGCTTCGTGGATTAGAACGTGGGGAAAGAAGGAAACGAGAGGAAATCAAGTTGCAGAAATCAATGCTATCACTCCTCAAGTAGGCACAAAGACTGATAAAAAGTCAATGACCTAGCACTCACGATATCTGCGATGTTATATTCGCGGATGATGTTATATATGGCATCCTTGAAGTGCTTGATCTTGGGACCACACTCATCCAAATGCGCATTCAGAGCACTAGTCGCTTGACTTGAACTATCTTCTAGTTGCTGGTTCTCTTCCTAGACGTGATAAAACTTTAAGAACTACGAAATCTGATTGACGAATTTGATACATTTTTGAAATCAAAATGAGATTTATTAAATAAAGAATTTACCATCACGATTTCAAGCTCCTTCTTCAATTTCTCATATTCAGCGTTTCGCACCTCAAGTTGGACGGCGATATCTTCGATAGCAGAAATCATCTAAACACATTTTCTTGCCTCAGGAAAAGGAAAAATACCAGCATATAAAAAGTGAAGAAAAGGCCGACCTCTTTGGTTTCATTCTGTTTGTCGTCACTTTCCTTCTGAATGCGAACAAGCTCTTCACGCAACGTCTCCTCATTCTCTCGCATCGCTTGAATCGATTCGTCTTGCAACAAGACCTAAGTAGAAAAAAACTTGTTCTCATGGACAGTACAGAACCGGTCAATGATTACTAGCTCTTCACTAATGAACACACTGATTACTCATAAACCTTAAAGGCATGCTATTTCACAAATGGTGAGTTAAGCTGCTCAGATACTATTGACAAGACGGTAAAATACATAAAAGTGAAAAGAAAAGCAGAAAACTCCGCCCAAAATGGCCCATATAGAACCCCATGCTGTACTGTGTGCGTTTGTATGGGCATAAGGCGAAAAAAGAAGCTTGGTCGGACGAGTTCTCATTTGCTCTTTCATCTTATCACATCATTCCCACCATTCGGAATGGAGAGGGCTAGTAGCGGAACAATCGTATCAAGAGGAAACCTTGGAAATGAAAGGTGAGCGTTGCCGTGGTCAGAAGGCGAGAGTGTGGTTTCGCCGCGAGCGGGTCACGCTTTCCTCACGTATAAGTTTATTAAGCTGCGAAAGTGCTGCATTCTCAGCGCTTACTGGCATGACTACAATCTTCAAAGAAAGCATCACTAAATGAGCGCGGGTGTGCCTTCAAAATCAAGCAGGAACTAATTCATGTCATTCATGTCGAGCCGCTTCGAATATGGAAATTAATTATTTACCTGAGCCTTCAGCTTCTCATGCTCTTGACTGACTCGCTGAATCTCGTCGTCCTTCTCGTCGAGTTGTTGGTACAGCTTTACTCGCTCCTCCTCGTACCTATAACCAATCAAAAGCGTGAAAAATATGAGCCCGACACATTATACGTTGTAATCCCCAGCCAGGGGGGGGGTTGTACCTGCTCTGTGGGGGAGATTTTTTTGGTTGTTGACTCTTTCCGTTTTTTCCTTTTTCTAGATGCTCTTAACCCCTCCACCACCTGCTTGAGGACAGTTCTTTCTTTATTTTGAAAATAAGTAGTTCCGGGAAAAACTCAAAATAAGTAGTTCCGGGAAAAACTCCGGAAAAATGGGGTAGCGGATGGGAAGGAGTCGATGGGGAGAAAACTGAGGGTCGAATTTTCGGAAATTCCCAAGGCCCTGATATAAGCAGTCAACATAGCACACAAACTTCTTCTTCTCCTCATCAGTGATCGGGCCAGTAACGGAGGTGAGCATCGGCGGTGCTGGGGCGATCATCGATCTCTCCATTGATGGCGTTGTCGAATCTGTAGGCGCTGAAAGACCCCTCACAGTACAGGGATTACAGTTAAAAGAAACTACTACACTGAGTGCTAAATAGTATTCACTCACTGTCTGACACAGCCAAAAGGCCAGCGGTGTCATTGAGGTTGATCCAGTCAGCCTCATTGACACGTTCACCCCCTCGCCATCGTGATACTTCCAAATTAAGAGCTTGAATAACAGCAGAAAGGCGGGTGTTCTGCAATAATAACAGAACTTATGTTCACATTATAAATGAAAAATTTCGGAATGAAAGGAACGAAAAACTCACCTTATCCCTCTCTTTCTCATATCGGCGCTTCCATTCCTCCGCAGTAAGCTCCTCATTGATTTGGACAACGTTCTTGATGGTCTTCGCGCTGAACACAAAGAAATTTTTAGGAAAAAAATGAAAAGTACTTCGCATTTGAACAGGGCAGCAAGAATAACGATTCTACGATTCTTTTCTTGCACTCACCGTTGACCAAACATAAGAGTTGATTTCGTTTCGGCCTCATTGAAATGAGAAGGAGACGCGCAAATGATGACGGTTGTTCGTGAGTTTCCTCCTAGGGATTCTTGAAGAATTCGGGTGAGTTTCGAGTCTCGATATGGGACATGAGATTTCTGAAAACACAAAAAAATCCTCACACAGTTTTGCTAAGTAGGGGCACCACATGGTTTTCAGTTATCTTTTGAAAACTTGTTAACTGCAGCGACCAAAGTGACTTATCTGTGCCACTTCGCAGCTCCACCACAGTTTACATAGTTTACATGAACTAGCAGAAAAAAAAGCAAAATGCCCCCCCCCCCCTCCCTTCCACCCTTTCCTCGCATAGCAACAGATTTTGCCGAGCTGTGCCGAAATTTGTTGCTGTATAGGAAAAGAAAAATAGAATCTACATATGTGTCTAGATTGGAGATTCAGTCTTATTCGCAAAGCGCCCACTGCACTACTCCACGCCGTAATTAATCCCATGGGAAGCCCCGCCCCAGACTGCCACGCCCCATCATGAAATGAATGACGAAATGATCCACACATACCGTTCCTTCAGCTAATGCAGAAATGACGATACCAAGTGCTGTTAGAGATTTGTTAATATTTTTCGCTTCTTCTAACACAGTTCCTTGAGCACCAGTTTTGCTAACCTGAACAACAACAGAAGTGAGAAATTCTATCGGACGGCTTTCAACAACTCAGACTCACCTTCTCAGAACCTGCTAAATCCACCAAGTACAACTTGCCAGCAAGCTGTTTCTTTGTTGCTTGATGCTCTTGTTTTACAGTTATTAAGAAAACAGAGTGAGAACGAGACGAGTGTTCATTCATGTCTGAACATTCACAACTTTGAAAAAATGAAAGATATCAGTAATAATGATATGGTACACTTATTACGCCGTTTGGCTTGAAAGGGGCATTTTGTACTTTCGCTAATTCCCTTTGTTAGTTCATGTTAAATAACAAGTCTTATTTGGTAAGACCTGTAAACTCCATTGAAGCTGAGAAATGGTGCGAGTGAGCCACTTTGGTTAGAGGAATTTACAGGGTTTTTTTAGATGGTCCGTACAAGCTTAGCTTTGTACCATACCTAACCCACCAAGCCGAACTGCGCTCCTTTACTTATCTATTCAGAATAGAGCATTTGCCTTGTCTCTAGGAAATGCGGTACGCTGCACGTTGGGAATTCCTAGCGGGATATCTTATTTGGTAGGTGGGGAGTGGGTTGTATTTGGCGTGAGAAAATCCTCTCTGATACTTGGTCTTTTTGGTTTCGCGCACTCTGTCTACATTGCCAGAAAGATTTTAGTGGGAGGGAGGGGGGGGGTGTTTTCTCATGGTTGGAGATGGGGAGGGCCGCATTGGCCTTTGAGAGGATTCCGAATTGTGAAAAAGTTTTTTTTCGACTGCTATGGGCAAAACGTGGTGGCTCGGTTCTTAGGGAAAACTGGAAAAGTGGTAGGAAGTATGAGAGAGGTAGGATGATGGTAGACTAGGATGGGAAAGGGAGGATGGATCGTACCAGTGGATGGAAATTTGGATCGTAAGTGCTTAAAATTTTCCTCAGCGCCAAGAACTCAGATTGTAAATGAATAAATAAAACAAAAGTCTTCGGTAAATAATAGATAGGATGAAACCAACTAGTAACGGCAACCATTCGATTGCTTTTCCCGTCTTCAATCGTTTGTAACACTTCATCGGGGCTCCCAACGAATCGTTCAGTGGCTCCTTTCACATAGGGGACACGATTCTTGTCTTCGTGAATCGAGAGATTCACCTTTTCAGCTGAAAGCAGCAGTATCAATTATAAGATCAAAACGATGAAGAAACGATTAAGCCATTGCGTACCGCGGCGTTTTTTCGCTGGCTGCCGCGTGTGCCCGAGCCATATTTCGCAACCTCGCCGGCGTGCTGCACATGGTGCAGCACGCGGCCACGCAGAGCGGTATTTCTCGCGCCCGCAGCGAAGTATAAACTCAACGTACGTCGTTTCGCTTCTCCAGGCTATTTTTTTGGGAAACTACGCCTAATTTATGGCAGCCGTTCCAGATAGGCAATGAACGCTCCGAATAGATCGTTTGATGAACTTCGAACTTCTGATTGAAAGTGATGACGAAGTGATGAAGCAGGGCCCTGATACCCCAGAAGATATGGTTGTCCGCGTGAATCATTCAAGTGATGAGTCCGAATCAAGCGAAGAAGGCTCAGATACAAACGATGGAGGGATTCAATGGACCCCAAATATCAGCAGGCAGAACAATTTTGACTTTCAAGGTTTCGGTGGTGCACTGGATGAAGATGTTCCAGTACCCAATCCAATTTTTCCGGCGATTTTTCACAAACGATCTCGTTGATTTGATTGTAAGAGAAACCAATCGTTATGCTATCGCAAAGTACTCAAACTGGATTAATCTCGACGAGGGCGAACTACTGAAGTTTTTGGCGATTTGTTTCCAAATGGGACTCGAAATCAGGTCAAACCTCAGAGATTACTGGTCGACAAGAAAGGTGTTTAGTGAGTCGTTCGCAGCAATTTTCATATTTCTGCATTAAGTGTTTCCACACATATCATCAACGGTGTCCTGTTTAATCCTTTATGAGTGTTTATGAACGTTGAAAATAAATGAAGAAGATCGCAATTGAAGTATTTCATGAAAGAGGTCAATAACCCAAGTGCTCCTTCAGCGATCGAGGTCCCACGTACTTCTGCTGTTTTCATAAAAAACATGCGCTCGCAACTTTGTAGCAGAAAGGATGCAAAATAATCCAGATGGAGCGGAAAAGTTATCGTGCTGCACCATGTGCAGCACGCGGTACGCAATGGGTTAAAGTGCTCCACTTGAAAATGAAAAATTCCAAATAAAGACATAGATAATGGAACAAAAGAGCAAAAAAAAAACTCACGATCCAACAAGTCACGAATCTTCTCATTGTAAATTTCAAAGTAGGAAACTTTAATGTGAAATTCTAGTTCAGTGTCCATAGTATAGATGTGATTGAATATATCTTGTACTATCCGTGGAATGATACCCTGCATTACTTGATCGCCAATCACACCCTGAAATAACAATTCTTATTCTAAAATTAAACTATTATCTGATCCTAGCATTACAAGAAAGGCGCAGTTCCACTTGGTGGAGGCATTCTGCTGGCTCCTATCGAGCACTATTAATGCCTCCTGCGGAACCTGTGCGTACCTGTAAAGCTGTGCAATCGCATTTACATTTGACAAGAATCTACAGGTTTCACCAACGAAATTCGTGTAAATTGATAGGAACTAGCAAGAAAAACTAGCATAAGGCGAAATGTACCCACCTCCTTAGCCGAAGAGCACCTTCTTCAACTTTTTAAACCAATGTTTTAGTAGTTGGCAACGTACCTCCATGGTATGGGTTTTACCCGACGATGTCTGTCCATAGGCGAAAACAGTTCCATTATAGCCTGACAGAACATCTTGGACAATGTGATAGGCTGCACCCATATAGACTTGTTCTTGAGTTGTATTCGGTTTGAAGACTTTATCGTACACAACTGCTGTACCCTGAAAATGGAAAAGAGATTTTGATGACGTTCCTGTCTCGACTCTTCACCATTACTTCTTCTTTGATTGCTGACTTCCAAAGTAGCTTACCCTGAGAAGGTTACAATCTTCACGACCGATTCAACTTTCCCTCAGTAGTCACAGCTGTATTC